AATGTCATAAAACAATATGTGTACTGACTGTTTAATGAGAAACTATTTGTTCTGTAAACCTTCACCTAAAGTACAGTAAAAAAATTTTTAAAAAAAACTGTTGTGTTACATATATTTTTACAACAATAAAAAAAGAAAAAATCAGTTAAAAAGAAAAGAAACAAAGAACAGAAATAGAAAACAGTTACAAACATGATAGATAATTATTCAACTATATCAATAATTGCTTTAAATGTGAATGGTCTAACTACACCAATTAAAAGACAGAGACTGTAACATTGGATTAAAAAAAAGAGAGAGATCAAGTCATACGCTCTCTAAAGAAACTCATTTTAAATATAAAGACACAGATAGGTTAAAAGTATAAGGGTAGGAAAAAAAAAAGGATAAGGGTGGAGAAATAAATACCATGTTGACACTAATAAAAAGCTGGAGCAGCTGTATTAATTTCAGACAAAGCAGACATCATATTTTATGCCTTTCATACTAGAAGGGCATAACATAATGATAAAGGGATCAATTCTTCAAGAAGACATGCACCTAACAACGGAGTACAAAAATAGGTGAGGCAATCACTGAAAGAACTACAAGGAAAATTAGACAAATCCACTATTAGAGCTGGAAATTTCAACACTCTTCTATCAGTAACTGACAGATCAAGCAGGAAGAACATTTGTAACTGAATAGCACTATCAATCAACTTGATCTAATTGACATTTATAGAATTCTTCATTCAACAACAGCAGAATACACATTCTTCTCAAGCTTACATGGAAAATTCTGGGCCATGAAACATAACTTCACAATTTTAAAAGAATAGAAATCATGCAAATTGTGTTCTGAGACCACAATGGAATTAAACTAGAAATCAGTAACAGAAAGACAGCTGGAAAAATTCCAAAATATTTGGAGATTAAACAACACATTTTTAAATAGCATGTGGGATAAATAAGAAGTCTCAAGAGAAATTTAAAAATATTTCTGACTAAATGAAAATGAAAACAAAACTTATCAAAACTTGTGGGATACAATATTTTAATCAGAACATGCCATCCCTCTGCTCAAAACCCTCTAATAACTTCCCATCCAGTGGCACCACTAGGGTTGGTGTCACCCAGTGTGGTAACTCATGGTGTCATCCCCCCATGGACCTCTTCCCATACCAGAACATACAGAATCCTTAGTAATGTTTATTTTCAATTTTAATCATAGAATAATATGTGATATAGTTATAAATTGCTTAAATGTAGTATTTCTCAGATTATATGAATACTAACAAAATTGTTTTGTAAAATCTTTCTACACTGAATTACAACATTATTAGGCACAACATTATTAGTAACTGCTTTTCCTTTAATTACTATTTCATTCTCAAAAGTTACTGATATAACTTTTAACATATTAACTTACACTAATTACCACAATATTGTAGCTAAAACACTAAAAATTTTGACAAAATCAGCAACTTAAAAACACTAGCAGGAATGAAAACAACAGTGCATGCTTGTAGTGGGTGCAAATGAAACCTCATGATTCGAGGCATCACTGTAATTGGGTAATAATGAGAGCTCTGACCAGAGTGCATCAGAAGGTTCAGAAGTAAATTAGCATAGAGTTTTAGCCTTGGAGGTACACATGTAAGCTGGGCCTAAAAAGTGTTTTTATTGTTATAACTAACTATAGGGGCATTTTTATAAAAAAATAATAAATTTCTGCTGAAACACTACACAAAAATTTTATAGAGTCATTTTGTGTCACTCCCTCTGATAGTGTCACCTGATGCAGTTCACACCCCCCACACCCTCTTAGTGACGCCACTGTTCCCATCTCATTCAGAGTCAAAGTCAAAGTCATTACAATGGCCAAAAAAGGATCTGGTCACCTTCCTCTCAAACCTCTCTCAACTCATCTCCCACACCTCTGTCACTGACTCTGCTCCATCCATAGTGGCTTCCTTGCTATTCCTTAAATTGAAGAGGTATATTCCCACTTCAGTGTACTGTACTTGCTATTACCTCTGTCTGGAATGCTCTTCCCCCAGATATGTGTAAGGCTCATTCCTTCCCTCCTTTGTATCTTTACTCACATGTCAACTTTTCAGTTAGGAATTCCCTGACCCCTTTAAAATGAGAATCCCCTCATGCCCCAACACTCTCTTATCCCCTTTCTCTGCTTTATTTTAGTTCCACAGCACTTATCATATTACCTTCTAAAAGAAGCTATATTTTACTTATTTATTGTTATTCTTATCTGTATCTCTCCACTAGAATTAAATATCTATGAGGGAAGGGATTTTTTTTTTTTTTTGGCTCTTTTGTTCACTGCTAAAACTCTACTGCCTAGAATATTCGGTACATAGTAGGTGTTACAAGATGAATTGTGTCCCCAAAAAAGATATGTACAAGTTCTAACTCCCAGTACCTGTAAATGTGACCTTATTTGGAAAGAGGGTCTTTGCAGATATAATTAGTTAAGTTAATGTGAGGTCATCCTGGAGTACCAAAACCTGTTGCCATTGATTCTGACTCATAGTGACCCTACAGGACAGAAGAGAACTGCCGCATAGGGTTTCTAAGGCTGTGATCTTTAGGGAAGCAGACTGCAACATCTTTCTCCCACAGAGTTGCTGGTGAGTTCCAACCATCAACCTTTCAGTTAGCAGCCAAGCGCTTTAGCCACTGCGTCACCAGGGCTCCTACTGTCCTTATGAGAAGAGAAGACAAACAGAGGGAAGATAGCCATGTGAAGATGGAGGGTGAGATTGGAGTTATGTGGCCACAAACCAAGGAATGCCTGGGGCTACCAGAAGCTGGAAAAGGCAAGGAAGAATCTTCCTCTAGAGTCTTCAGAGAGCATGGCTCTGCCAACACCCTGAATTTGAACTTCTAACCTCCAGAGCAGTGAAAGAATAAATTTCTGTTGTTATAAGTCATCCACTGTCTTAGGCTTGGTTCTCCGGAGAAGCAAAACCAGTAAAACATATAAATATATATAGAGAGAGAGATTTATATCAAGGAAATGGCTCACACAGTTGTAGAGGCTGTAACGTCCCAAGTCCATGAGTCAGGATAGAGGCTTCTCCTGATTCACACAGCCACAAGGGCTGGTGAACTCAAGATCAGCAGGTCGGAGAGCAGGGCTGTTGCTCAGAGACTGTGAAGATCGAGGAATCCCAAGATCAGCAGGCAAGATTGCAGGTAAGCTGCTAGCTCAAGTCCCAAGAATCGGAGGTCAGACGAACAGGAGCCAGCTGCACGATCCAGAATGAGCAAAAGTCCCTGAGCCCTGCCAGAACACCCACCCACACTAGATGCAGGCCACATGTCCAAGGAAATTCCCTCTCAACTGATTTGCTACTCACAGTAGATCCCATCATGTGGGCGATCACACATCAAATCCCAACAGGGAAGTGACCACAATATCACATGACTGCCAAAACACTGAGAATCATGGCCCAGCCAACTTGGCACACAATCTTAACCGTCACATCCACTTTGCAGTAATTTGTTATGGCAGCCCTGGAAAACTAATACAGTAGATGATCAATAAATACAGACTGAATGTATGAAAAAAAGAACCTATCATAAAGTCAAAGTTAGTGAAACCTGTTATTTAATTTATTCAATGAATTTACTAAGTAGATACTATATGCCAGGCACTTTGCCAGGCCTTGAGGATATACAGTCCCTATACTCATCAAGCACACAATTCTAGCAGTATCAAATTAGCTTACAGCTATAGCTGATGTATATAATGTATCAATATATATATTTTTTATTTTTCTAACTCATATGTCCTACACTAAGAAAGGAATGATAGGTCACAATTTTTAGTTCATACACTCTAGTGTTTTACATCTTATAATTTAATGTTTCAAACATCAAGAGTGCATTATCAGGCTTACTGCACTGTGACATATTTTAATGTGCACTGTGAACCAGAAGGCAGTAAAGGTTTGTAAGCATGAACTGACAACTGTTGGAGGCAGGAAGGAATAAGTTCAATTGAAGTATTTCCTAAACAAACAAGCAAACAAAAACAAAATTAAAAAGCCATGATTCCTGACCTCAAGGATCCCATAATTCTATTTTGAAAACAACTCTCCAACACTTCTGGTCCATAATCTAAGCAACCTTGTACTTCTGTTTATCTGTGTATATGTCCTCTCTCTACAACTAGAGTGTTAATTTCTCAAGAGCTGGAATCATATCTTACACTGGAATCCTATCTTACTCCAACCCTTAGCAAAATACTATACATTTACTCAATAATCCTTTCTGAGCATCTACCATGTGCCAGGCACTATGATAACAGGGTGATAACGGGATGACTCCAAGGTTTCTGGCTTGGTCATCTGAGTGGATCCCAGTGCCATTAATTGACATAGAGAACACTGTAGAACAAAAAGGATATATGGATACAAAACTACATTTTGGACATGTTGCAAGTTGTAGATGTGACACTGCAGCTCCGAGGACACATTTGGAGTTCAGGTCTCAGTGTTTGTAAGCTTTTTCTGAGCCCCATTCTCACTCTGTACTGGAACCAAGGGCACTGTACTCTTCTCTGTAATACTCATTACACTAGCCATTATTTGCTCAGTATTTGTTTTCCCCACTAGAAGGTAAGGAATTTGTCTGTCTTCTTTACTGATACATCCTTAAGACATAGCTCATAGTAGGCACTCATTAAACATATATTGGATGTTTGAATGAATAATATAGATTTACAGGTCATCAGTAGGGTTGAAGCCATAGCACATGACAAGAAAAAGACGACTAAGTTAGTGATGGCACTGTTGAGGAAAAAACCAACAATTTACGGAGAAAAAGGAAAACACCAAGCCCACTGCCAAGGAGTCGATTCTGACTCATAGATGGAATAAAAGAAGTCAAGCAAAGGAAACAGAGACCCAATAGAGCGGAAAGAAGAAAGCCTAATGTTGTGATGTCCACAGGCTCAAACGCTGCAGCGAAGCCAAGTAAGAACTTGAAAGAGTCCACAAGATTTAACAAAGAATTGATGTCAATCTGGGCAAGAAGACTCAGGAGTGGTCAGATGGAAAGAAAGAGAGGAAAGCTGAAATGAAGGAGGATAGCGGGATGGGTGAAGAGCTTTGGGAGTCCGTCCACTGAGAATAAATCAAGGAGGAGAAATGAGGAGGGACAGCTGAGAAAGAGAAATGCTGAAGTAAGAAAAGGAGTGTGAAGAAGGGCCCACGAAATAGGCTTACTTACCTGGGTTTGCAGTCATCGGAGAGGAGGTGGAGGGGCCTGAATCGGACACCCCGGGCATGGTGCAACCCCCTGGACTCTGGGGAGGAGTTGAATCTAGGCCCCTGCTGCGGCAGCGGTCTTCACTTGCTCTTACCCACGAGCCACTGCAGTGGCAGCGGCCATCTCGGTCGTCGTTGCTTGCACCGGGGCCGCGGTCCTCTCTAGCTCTCTGCCAGGAGCCCCTGTGGTGGGAACTTTCGTCTTCACTTTCTCTCTCCCAGAAACCACTGAAGCGGGGACCGGACTCTTCGCCGACGGTCACCACTGAGTCGCTGGCCGCGTAGCTGCGGTCTTCACTTACTCCCTCCCAAGAGCTACCGAGGCTGTGGCCGGCATCAACACTCCCTCCCTCCCAAGAACCACTGAGGTGGCGGCTGCGGTCGTCGCTGACTGACTCCCCGGAGTCGCTGGTTCGGGGGCTCTGGACTTCAATGACTTCCTTCCAAGTACCGCTGAGGTTGTGGCCGCGGTCTTCTCTGACTGTTCCCAAAGAGTCGCTAGTTTGATAGCTGCCGACTTCACTTACTCTTAAATTCACGTCGCTGCTGCGGAAGCCGGGATCTTCTCTTCCTCTCTCCCAAGAGCTGCTGTGGCGGTGGCCACTACCTCTCCCAATTCTCTCCCGAGAGACACTACGGCAGTGGCCCAGGTCTTCACTTGCTTTTCTCGTGCAGGCCCTGCAGCGGTGGTTGCCGTCTTTACTGATTCTTTGCCGGTCGCTGCTAACACTGTCTCTTGACTCGCCACAGCAATGGCCGTGCAGGTCGTTTGTCCTCCCCACGTGGAGGCTACTGCGGCGGCCGCCGTCTTCTTTTGATATTCCCCGCGAGCCGTCGTGGCGGCCGCCGCCGTGCGTTGAAACGGTCTCCTCCAAGTTGCTTTTCAGCGTCCGGACTCCCGCGGTGAAGGAGCCGTCGCCTTGGAAACCAGTAAACTAGCGGCGTGCTGCGGTCATTTCCAGTTCCTTACGGCTCGCGTCACTTCCGGCTTCCGTGCCTGAACCTTTCTTAAGCCTTCAGCTTTGGAGAAGTCCGGTGGTGTTATCGGCCGGTTTTCGGCGAAATTCTAATCGGTTTCACACCCAACTTAGCTAGGCCCGGCCTCTGTAACTGCCTGGCATCGATCTCGCCCTCCACCGCTCAGCGACCCAGGTGAAGGCCTCAGGACTGCACTCTGCGTAGGTGACCTGTGGCGCGGGCCGGGCGGGGCCTTTCCCCTTTTCGTCCTTGGCTGACCGAGTATAATTTTTCAGTGCTGGATGAAACACTGGAGAATATCTATTCTTACCCTGTCATTTCACAAATATGGACACAGACCAAAAGAAGAAGTTAGCAGCTGCAGCCGCTGTCATTATTGAGTGCTTACTAGTGCCAGGCTTGTTATTTAATTCTTAACAATAATTTTGCAAGGTAGGTGTTATCCTCATTTTACAGGTGAGGAGACTCAAGGTATCAGTATTTGCCCAAGGCCAAACAGCAGGTAAGTGGTAGAACCAGTGTAAAGACACTTGTCTTTAGTCCAAAGACTGCTAAGGTCTCTTGACTCCAGATCCAAAGTTTCTTTACTGCGGCATGTTTGTTTACTTTCATCAGTTTAGCTCAGATCTTATTCTCCAACCCTCTTGCTTAACATATATTCCTGCATTCACTATTTATTGTAAACATAGAGTTCAGGCTTAGTGTCAGCAGGTGAGAACACATAAATTAATCAGAATTGTCTGCCCCCCAGGGGGATCCCCGCCTTGGTTCCCCATCTCAACCTGTTTTTTCTATCCTTATTGCCTTGCCAGACATATCTTCTCCCGCTGAAAACATACAGTACTTTTTCACATCTCTGTGTTTTTGTAAATGGTGTTCTACCAGGAAACTGCTTTCCCTTAGTATTGTTCTGTAAACACTTTTGGGGAAGTTCCCCTGATCCTGTCTTTCCTCCCCGAGGTACAGTAAGTGGCCCTTTAACTTGCATAGCCTTTTGTAATATTAATAGTATTAACTGGCATTTATAGAGTTCATATGATTGGTCTGGTACTGTGCTGAGTGCTTTATATTAGTTCTCTTATGTAATCCTTCTAACTTGCCAGGATCGGTATTATGTATTTTGTTTATTTGATTTTACAGATAAGTAAGGCACAAAAGTTAATTGTCTACTTACAGTAGTAAGTACTTGAATTAGGATTCCACCCTAGGCATTGATTTTGCTTGATGTGCTCGTCACAGTCTCTGAATTCCCAAAGCCTTTACTAGACCTCTAATAACATTGTAGTTACTTAACAACTGATCCTCCTGTTCCTCACCGCATGGACTCTGAGCTTCTGGAAGGTAGCTTGTATTCTTGACATTCCTGACATCACGGGAGTGGGGTATTGATTGGTTGATGGTCAGGTGGATGAGCTGATAGGTAGACTAAAAGTAAAATTTTTTCAGAATTGAAAGAGAACTTGGAATTAGTCATCCTGATCTCATTTTTAGAGATGGGCAGTTGAGGCCTTTTGTCTCACCAGACATCTATTGAGTGATTAATGTGGGCCAGTTTCTATGCTAAGTGATTTGCAATTAGTGTCAAACTTAATATGTGTCATTGTTTCTATTTTTACAGATGAGACAACAGCTCAGATTTGGTCAAGATCTCAAAGTAGGAAATTGGAACCCACTTACAGCTGACTAAATTAATACAGCATTTGTAGCCACTTATATAATAATGATAAAAGCTTTATTTCTTACTTTGCTGTATGGAGTGGATAAACTCACCAAGGTACTAAGGCAGTGCATGACAGGTCCTTAAAGAATATACACATGGCAGGAAGGACCGGAAAAGGAGACATAAATGGGTAGCAGAGAAGCAGAAAAGCTAAAATCTCCAAAGTAAAATTAACGTAAAAGCAAAAATTAATGAAATAGAAAATAAAATTGATCAAAATAATAGCTGATGTTTGAAGAACGATAAAATACAGACACTCAAAATCAGGAAAAATAGAGGAGAAAATATTGGAAACAAAGGGAACTTGTTACAGATATGATGGAGACTTTGAAAATCAGAATAAAATTATTATGTATAGCCTTAAGCAGATAATTTTGATAATTGACTTAGACAATTTTCTAATATAAATTTCAAAAAATTGGCACAAAAGTTAGAAAACCTTAACAAGGTAATAATCGTAAAAGAATCTGTCCCCCGCAAAAGTCACTAGGAACAAAGCATAGATAAGAATGGAGTGCTTCCCAACCATGAAGCCAGCATAACCCTAACTGAATCTAAACAAGGGTAGTGAAAAAGACAAAAAGCCTATAGCTGTCTCATGATTATACATGTAAATATCTTAAAGTAAAATATGAATGAAGCCAGCAGTGCATTAAGATAATAATATGTCATGCTAAATTTGGTTTACCTACCAATACAGGATAGATCAACATTAGACAATACAGTAATGAAAATTTGCTACATTAACAAATAAAGGAGAAAAACTATATGATCTTAGCTGATGCTGAAAAATTAGCATCTATTACTGATTCAAAAAGAAGGAAAAAAGCTCATCTTAAGCAAGTAATGAACAGAATCTTTCTTAACTGGATGAAGAATATCAACTAGAAATGAACAGTGTACTTAATGTCATAATCCAAGGTATTCTTTCATTCCTACAATTCAGAATTATGGACCCCGTGTAATAAGGTAAATGAGGTATGAAATTGGAAAGGAAGAAGTTAGACAAATGACAGCATTGTTTACCTGGATAAGCCTAACAACTGTAAAATATTAAAATTATAACTAATAGTTTGGTAAGATGGTAAGCTTTCAGAGCGACATCCAGAATTAAGATTTCCTATAAACTAGAAATAATCATCAAATGTAAAGGAGGAAAGATCTCATGAAAGATCTTATTAACATTAGCAGCAAACAGAATGAAATATTCTAGGACTAAACCTATCAAGAAATGATGAAAACCCAAATGAAAGATAAAACTTTATTGGTAGACATTACAGAAGAGCTGAATAAATGGAAAGACGGTATGTCCCTACAGGAGTACACTTTGTATTTTAAAGATAATGATTCTCAAAGTATAAATTTGTTGCATTTCTAATGAAAATTTCAAATGAATTTTTAGTGGAAATTATAAGATGATTTTAAAGTTCTAAATAGTAAGTGTACAGGATTAACCAAAATGTTTTTGGAAAGAATTAATGAGGGTGAACTTACTCAAGTAAGTATCGGAACTATAAAGCTAGCATATTTAAAACAGGGTGGTATAGGAGCAGGATTAGACAAATAGATTAGTGGAACAGACTAGAATCCAGAATAGCCTCATGTATATGTTTATGATAGAGGTGGCATTTCAAATAGGTGGGAAAGAAAATGATAGGCTCTTCGATATTTTCATATACAAAAATTCATTTCAAAAGAAAGATTAACATAAGGTACTAGGAAAAAAAATTCAAAAAATTTGTTTCGTAATCTTAGGAAAGCCTTCCTAAGCAAAAGAAGTACCAGAGGCCAGAGAGAGAAATTTATGTAAAACTATATAAATATGTAAAAGATTACAGGATACATCGCTGAAAAGTTGAGACAAGAAGTATACTGGAAGAGAATAAATACAATGTGTATGGTATAAATGATTCATATATATATTATGTAGAAAAAAATTAGAAAGGGTAACAATAGAAAAAAGTGAGCAAAGGATATAAATACATCAAGAACAAATTAACAAAGGAAAGGATGCGCAATCTCACGAGTATTTTTTTAAAAAAAAACTAAACCCATTGCTGTTGAGTCAATTCTGACTCATGGTGACCCTATAGGACAGATTAGAACTGCCCCCATAGAGTTTCCAAGGAGCTCCTGATGGATTTGAACTGCCAGCCTTTTGGTTAGCAACTGTAGCTCTTAACCAGTGCGTATTTAGAGAAACCTAAAGCTGTGAAAGACTGCTGTTTACCCATCACGGTGGTAAAAACTAAAAGATTATGGCTAATGACTGTCAGAAGGGAATAGATAAACAGTCACTTTGATGACGCTGCTGGTGAAAGATAACTAGTGTGACCCGTGAAGGGCAATTTGACAGTGTCAGATTTTAAATTTATATTACCCTTGAGCGAGCAACTACCCAGTTCTAAAATCTTCCAAATAACTTGCTCAGATGTTTGTACTTAGTCATTACAGCACTTTGGAGAAAAACTTGAATATCCATCATAAAAGAATGGCTAAGTTATGCTACATTCATAATATGAAATATTACACAGTGGTAAAAATGCACTAATTAACATGGAAATAGTAGTAAAATAGAGTAAATGAAAAAAATGCCAAACAATACATAGATGGTCACTTTTTTTTTTAATTTTTAAATTTTGTAATTCTTTGTAAGAAAAGTAAAGTGTGCACTGTCACGGAAAGTAAAAGAAGATAGTTTTTAGGAGTATCTGGGCCAGGAGAGATTTAAGAGGCTAAGAAAAGCACATTGGTTTTGGAGAATAGGAAATAGTGAAGTAATCAAGAGGCAAAAACCACTTGCACAGGATTTCAGGGTAAGCGAATGACTGACTATGAAGGAAGTTTCCCACTTGAAACAAGGTTCAGAACACATTGGTGGCATTCTTCACGCTGAAGTGGGCATTTCAGCATTCCTGAGAATCAGAACCCTTTGTAAGTAGAAGTCTTAAGGTTCCAATTAGTAAAAGTAGCTAAAGTCCACCTCTATCTCAGTTTTTCCAAATTTGATAAAGCAGGCTGTCCCTGTAGTCAGCTCTTGGAATCTAGTTCCAGAGGAGAGAGCAGGAATAACCGCAGGCCAAAAATGGAATTGAGTTTTGGTAACCATCTCTACTCTTTTCTGCCCATGTATCCTCTTGCTTCCCAAACATTCTTACTCTCCCTTGGGTGTCCATCCCCATGGGTGCTTCTTGACTCAGCTCACTTTTCCCTACCTGTCCAACAAAGTGCCTGTTATCTCATGTTGCTGACTCCATATACGATTATGAGAAACTTCCCACTCCTACGGTTGAAGTTCAGGCCTTTCTTGTCTTCACAATAGCCTGGTATTTCCGTTTCTGTCTCCAGTTTACCTCCCCTTTTTCTGTTGCTGTAGAGTCAATTCCAACTCAGGGCAACCCTGGGTGGTTGGAGGTTGAGTCTACCCAAGGCACCTTGGAAGAAAAGCCTGGCATTCTTCCAAAAAAAAACCAGCCATGGAAAACCTTATGGAGCACAGTTCTACTCTGATACACGTGGGAGTCTCCACCTTCCTTTTAATCTTAACCTTCATTCTGTAAACCTTACTTTCCACTCGCAGGCATGGTTACATGCCTCTTTAGATCTCCTTGAATGTTTTTTATAAATCTCTCTTAGAGCACTTATTAGGTGCTGAATAGGCTATAGAGAAAGCCAGGCAGGAAAACAGATAACTAGAATATTGTTGTTAGTTGCTGTCGAATTGATTCCGACTCATGGAGACCCCATGTGTTACCGAGTACAACTGCTCCATAGGGTTTTCTTGGCTGTAATCTTTACCGGGCCTTACTTCCACAGTATCGCTGGGTGGGATTGAACCACCAACCTTTAGGTTAGCAGTTGAGTGCAAAATGTTTGCACCACCCAGGGACCTACCTAGAATATAGAATTTTCTGTTTTAGATAAAGCTGTTAAAATGAGAATTTTAAATACATAATTAGGTCCTTTTCTCAAAGCTTTTTTTTAAAAAACTTTAGCTGAATTACAGTGTAATTGCTTTGTAGTATTTTCTAAAACAGTGTGAAGTTTTAAGTAAGAATATTGGGTTAACATCAGCATTCTAAGGAAAGTAAAAACTCAATGAAATCGTTAGATTTTAGGAAATGCATCACAAACTTCAAGTCTTAATTCAAAAGACAGCGTTCAGTCTTCCCTGAGACTCCACCTTTTCTTGCTGCCCTTTCCAGCACAGATTACTAGTTCTAGCTCCCCAGTGCTATGTGTTGACTACTACTTTTTCATCCTCCTTAGGCTAAAACCCAGTGTTCCTGATTTCTGAATTAGTTACCAAGGCTTAGTATTCTTCAGAATAAATTGTGGAGCTTCTTAAAATGTTAGAGGTTCACTTCAGACCTGAAAACACCTGAATAAAAATCTACTAGGTGAGGAATCTCTGTTCTTAACATTCACTATAAATGATTCTAATGTATAGCCAAATTTGGGAACCACAAATCTAGATCACTACCCACATCTAGCATCCCATCTCAAAGAGAAAATCGAAATAGAACTCTCAATCCCCCTCCCATTCCAACTGTAAATACCTGTAACCATCTCAGAAAAAGCACTCTCCTCCATTCCAAGGTTAATTCCTCTTGTGCTTTTGATGCCATCTTTTTCCAGCTCTGAGGCCTCCTTTCTCTACACTGAGCTCCTTTTAACATATATGCTAATGCCGTTTCTATTTGTCTCATTCTGTCTACAATTTAATCTCTGCAGTGGAATGTCATAAAAGAGCAGCTTACTATATTTCATTATCTCACCCACATAAATCATTGCAACTGGCATTGGCACCCACTCAGCTTAAAACTTCTCAGGCCAACAGTGGTATTTCTCAGTCTTTTTTTTTAAGGGAGTTGGTTATTTTCTATTATATGCTTAAGGGAATCATTCAGTACCATATTTTGTTTACTACTCACAATTTCAATTTTTTTTCCCTTTACTGGTTTTCCAGTAGTGTTTTTCATGCTTCAATAATGCTTCTTTCTCTCCTTCCCACCCACTAATCTGTTTGTTCCCTAAGACTTGTCTTTAGCCATCTTCTCCCTATGTACACATACTCTTGGGACATTTTTAGGTTTGAATATCGCCTTTTTTTGAATGTCACATACTTTTAAGCATTTGGTAAGAGGTGTGGATTATCTTCCCAGAAAAATGCGTGACAGGAAATTTTGCCTACATTTTTGGATTCACAGACCCCAGTATTTTTCCATAGACAGTGTTCATCTGTATTTGTAAGTTCAGCTGTGACGTAGTGTATTTTTTACTCCCAAATCCCATGGACATTTACCAGTTTTCTTACTGGGCCTCTCTGTAGCATCTGATAATCTCTTTAAAATTTTATCCACTTGATCCTTACAAAAAACCTCTTAGATGCAGATGTCAGTCACTTCTGTTTAAAATTTCTAGTGACTGCCATGGTCATCAGGGAAATGCAAACTTAGCATGACCAAGAAGGCTCTTCATAATATTTTACTCAAAATCACTGGGTTTTGTCCATATAAAAATTAATTTTTGAAAACGTGTTTTCAAGCCTTTGTATTTGCTGTTCATTCTCCCTAGATATCTGTCCTGCAAATATAGACGCCACTCCTATAGTTATCCTCCAAAATCAAATATCACCACCTCTAAAATTAACCCATCTCCAGGTAGTCTGTATACCTGTTTCTGTCCTAGCATTCATCTTAGAATATCTTTTTTTTTTTTTTTTTTCCTATTATGGCAGAAATAGTGTTGAATAAGATGAGCAAAGTCAGGTTCAAATTCTTGTTCTACCACTTTTAAAGAAGTATACGGGTGAATCAATCTCTTCATGTTAAATGGGAATACCAGCTACCACGTATGATTAGTTGTTAAATACCAAAGAAAGTATGTGTAAAGTCTACCAGTGCCTACCACATAGTAAGTGCTCAATAAACTATGAATTTCATTGTTTTATATGCCTATTTCCTGCAACAGATGACAGGAAAGATTAATCTTTTATATCAGAGTGTTTAGCTCACGGCAGGTGCCAAATTCATGTTTTAAAGAATCAAGAGATGAAAGAAAGGCATAAGAAAAAAGTCACATCCTAAAGCCATACAAGAAATAAAGAGATACAAACAGGAAGTTTCTTCATCATTCTATTTATTACATGTATGAATATTAACATCTCATGGTATCCATCTAATTCAATTAAAACCAAACAAAGGAAAAAAGGTTAACCATGTTTCAAATGAACATTCTTACAGATGCCCCGTAACTTAAATGTGTTCATCTGCATAAAAGTGTTCGACAATTTGAAAAAATCATTAAAAAAAAAAAAAAAAAATCACCTTTAGTACTTAAATATATTTGTTAATCGTTTGATGGCATCAGTGTCCATGTTCAAGCATAAAAGTTGCTTCATTAGCTACTTTTCAAATTGGACATCTGGATGATTCTTCATAGGTGGATGTGTGTGTATATATATATATATACATATGCAAATATGTCCTATTTAGTTTTAAAATTTTTTTTTATAACTGGCTTTTCTATCTGAGAAAGGTCTACAGTGCTATCTCACAACCCTCTTGAAGGATAAAACTAACTTCAGATTTGCTTTTTTTAATCATGGGAAGCGTCTAGAAAAAAAAATGTTGAGATTGCTGTTTAATTCCATTTTCACCCAATAAAAAGTACAGAAACACTGTCTTTATTTGATGGTGTGCATAAATATTACACTCCATGGATAGCAAAAATATTTTTTTATTTATAATTTACAGTTTCACAAGTGAAAATCGTACATTTTTTACACATACAATTTCATTTTGTTAAATTTGCACACATCTACAGAACTTTCACACAACAAGCACCTGAAACTGTGCAGGCAGTAGGAAATGCAAATACTAAAATGTATTTATTAACCAAATGATAGCTGAAGGCCCTGCCTCAGCTAGACAATTTATATAGATATAGTCTATATATACATACAAAAATTCTTCACTTTCTAGATCCAACAGCAGCTTTTGTAAAAAAGAAAAACATACCTTTCTCATTTTATTTAAACTGACTCGACTGTATCATTTTCTGTTTTAATTTCAGTGGGTGTGGCTATGCTTTCTTCTGTACAAGCTGGCGGGGTATCAATTTGTTCTTCCTTAACTTTAGGACTTTCACAGGGTTCCTGCAGTTCATTTTTGACAATGTTCAACATAATGTTCAAGGGGTTTTCAACTGGTGTCTTGCTGGGAGATGGTGTACAATCAAATGAAGATGTCTACAAAACGAAAAGCCCTTAAGTACTCATGAAAGTTCAAAATTATCACATTAAATGACATCTAGTTTTAAAAGAACTTTGTTTGAGGGCAAAAGAACGTATGTACACCTACTGCAAGTTAAATGCCCGGCCCACTTCCCCACAAAGAAACCCATAAAGGCAACTAATAAAATGTATACTGAACATTTAATACAAACTCAGCAATGAGCTCATCGAAGAAAAACAGTAACAAATAATGAAGGCAAAAGAAGCTGATTAGACGACATCTACTATTTAACCACCACATCCATGGTGACCCCTACATATATCCTTGGCTTTTGTGACTGTCATCATTTCAAATAACTCAGGATTTTTTATATCCCCACAAACCATCAAAACATCCTGGAAAGTCTAGTCTCTTAATGACCTAAATATATCTTCCAAACTGCCTCTTAAACCCATGAAACAAATATTCTTTGAGAGTCAATGTGTTCCATTTATATATCTCAATGACTAACATGCAAAAGATACATATCAGATCCTATCAATCTAGCACCAATATTTAATAAGCCTAAATGCTACATGAAAACACAAAGACTAAATATATTAGTAAGATTAAAATAATATTGCTGACTCAAAAAATAAGTAACTGAAAAAATTTATTAATGTAAACGAGAACACAGTAACTAAAAAGAAACTTACATTTTGATAATCTTCATAACATGATGGATGATAAATCTGAAGCAAAAAAGAAAAAAGAAAATAGATATTCACAAAAATCTTTTGGACTGCAAAAATGGAAAAAAAATTTTTTTCATCCTTATATACTTAAAAGAGTTTGAAAAACTGATTTCTTTTTAAACTTCTGTACATTTAAGTAAGTACCAGGCTAAAATGGAATGTTTTCAAGACAGTAACCGTTTTGATGACGAAATATAAATTCAGAATCAAAATAATCTGGTTAAATAGAAGACTAACTACATTCAGAAGACCGAGACCTGGGTCTGTTATTATCTAATTACGTAACTTCTATAAAATGAGTATAAACCCTAATAATTACCAAGATCCCTTCCACCTCAAACATCTATGACTGTAAATTCCAATACCTGGGAAATACCTTTTCTTACTATAACCAAAACCAACACACACAATGATAAAACCTTTTTGTTTCAAAGTGGTGAACTACCCCTATAAAATGCTAAAGTTAACACTTCCTAATAAAATAAAATTACCTTTCCATCTACTCTAATAGCATTTTTCAAATGCCACTCCTCCTCCTCTTCATCCCAGTACTGTTCAAATTGTTCTTGACAGATTTCACAACTCTGCAATAGAAGCATATAAAACGAAATTTATGTAATAGAACATACTTAATCCCATTAAGTAAAAATATATAAACATTTTGTTAAGAGGATAAAGGAATTTAAGAGTTTTCTGAAAGTTTCAAACAATGTCTGATATACAACATAGATACAAAACAAGGATTCTGCAATCTTCCAGGCAAAAACAGTTAACATTCCACTGGTGTTGGTCACTGATATTATTATGTAACTACAGTGGTTATGAAACTCAAAGCCAGATCGTAAGTAAAATTAAAGAGTAAACCTTATAAAAAATTATAAAATCATTAAAAAAGGAATGTAAATAAAGTGATATGTTTATAATTATTACTTGAAGGAAGTGAAGGGAACTCCCACAGGTAGAAAATTTAAACATTCTCTTACCTCAACTGCTCCAGCTGGTCCAGCAGGTACACTTTGGAACTCCTTTTCTTTAGCAGCCTCCTGAGTTTTGAGCACGACCTCTTCGTGCACTTTTTCAAAAAACTGGCTCTTTGCACGTTCTTCAAGATCCGCTATTTCCTCAAATTCTATCCAGTCCTTAACAGAAGTTGATTTGAAAATTATACCTTATCTTTGAGCCTCATAACTAATAGCATCATAGCAACTAATGAACAATTAACATCTTAATGTTAATTTTCCATTACCTCTAGAATTACAATTACTCATTTAAACCAGGTAAATTTCATGTACGGTTTTTTACAAAAAAAAAATTCAGTCACAGAACCTTGGAATTTTATAGCTAGAAACTTGTGGCCTACTTTAGTCCTAACAAAAAGCAAATACTCTAGAAAGTTCCTTCAAGAGCTTTTTACATTCTAGGGGTCAAATTTTATACCGAAAATTCATGTTCTCACTCAACAATCATTTAAACTAATATACTTTTAGAATGATATTATTAAAGCCTAAAAGACAGTTTGGAGGCAATATGAATTACTCACTGTTAAACTATAGTACCAACGTCTGTGAGTGACTTTTCTGCTAACATCTTTCTCAGTTCTATTTTGTCGATAATGCCAGTCCAAGTGATCGGCGTATACATCAGTCTGCGACGTTGTAAACCTCATTCCACAAGAGTAACACTGAATACCAGTGTACAGTCGATTTATAACACTATCATAACGTCTGTTTTGAAAAACACAGAAATACTCTTTAGTTTTAATAACATGGCTTAAAGTCCTTAAAAAAAAAAAACCAATTTTCCGTATTTTAATAATGGTGAAGCTCTGGCTTAAATAGTTAATTCCCAAAGATAAATGTTATTCTCTAATAGTGTGTCATCGACCCTCCTTACCTTAATTTTGGGGGGAGGGGGGAAATCAGGTGATTTTGGAACATGGAACCTATCCTCTTATCAGTAGGCCTAGCCCACTTACTTATTTCCTTTTAGCTAAAAATAAAATGATCATCTGCCAGCCAATAAGGCAACAGCTGGTTTAGTCTTAGCTTAGGGGCAATGTCAAGCTGAACAAAACAAAGCAGTTAGATCCCACCTCTCTAGATCTTTGGAGTTCTTGAATAACTCAGCTGCCCCACTAAGACCTAAATAACAGTGAAAAAGGAACAGAAAATAGTAATAGGGTAACAAAAAAGAAAAATTAGAAGACCAGTGGAAAACTGAGGTCAATAATCAGTTTTTTAAAACTTGGACTCAGTATTTGGGAACAATCAGGTATACAGATCAAGTTAAGTGAACAAACAGGAGAATTATTAACTACAAGAAAAATTTTGAAACAGTATACAAGGAGACCTGGTGGCGCAGTGGTTAAGAGCTTGGCTGATAACCAAAAGGTCAGCAGTTCGAATCCACCAGCCACTCCTTGGAAACCCTATCTGGAGGCTCTACTCTATCCTATGGCGTCACTATGAGTCGGAATCAACTCAATGGCAATGGGTTTGGTTTCGGGGTTTAGTATACAGCAAAGCACAGTACACTGGTACTTTGCAAACCAGCAAACAAATACTTATAAAACCAAAACGGTTGCCATCAAGTCAATTCCAACTCATGGCAACCCCATGTGTGCCAGAGTAGAACTGTGCTTCACAGGGTTTTCAATGGCTGGTTGTTCAGAAGTAGATCGCCAGGCTTCTTCTGAGGCATTTCTAGGTGGACTCAAACCTCCAAACTTTTGGTTAGCAGCCAAAAGCATTAAACATTTGTACCACCCAGGAACAAATATTTATAGTAATA